ATGGGGGCCGCCGAAAAGGCAAACTGATGGGCCAGCATGATGCGAGATACCGCGACAACGGTAATGAGCAAACTTGTTTCAAGGAAGCTAACAGATGCAGAACGTCAACAGAGGGTCGAGAGAGGCGCGTTCAGGCGGCGAGGACGACAAGGAGACTGGGTAGAGCTGAGTGTCGTGGGTGCCAAGTACAAGTAACAATATACATGCATCACCGCCCAGAATCCTTTTAACTCACCCGATAGATGCTATAGCGCTCATGATCAACCTCGGGCCCGATACACTGCCACTCTTGACCCTTGAGTCGAGAGCACATTACTCGGATGGGGGCTGTGTGCAATTGATGTCCTCGTAGTGGTGCAAGATACTACGACGACAAGGAGAGTGCTTTGCACCCAGTGAGCAGTGGAAAAGGGCCAAGGCCGACCAAGTTTTTCATCGAGACAGGGAGGGTCGGAAACATGAGCTGAAGTGACTGAGAGCGTGAAAAAAGAACAGAGAATGGCCACCCCTGGGAACATGGAGGGCGGCAAAAAGAGATGAGAGCGATGAAGGTCTTGAAGCTGCCTGTTATTCAGTGAGGGAGGTGCAGAAAGGAAGACGAGTGGCTGTGTAGATCAGATTGCGCAAATCTAATCTGCACTGCAGCCACCATCCATCCACTCGAAGTAGCTTGAAGCTCGCCAAGCCTGAGCTTGTATGTGAGCAACCGGGATAATATTAATAGGGAACAAGCTCCCTGATAAGCAGCAATTTTGACCCAAAAAAAACGAAAACGGGAACCAAAAGTGCGCGACTTTCTGTAGTCTTGGAGATTCTATTCATGTCCAGTTGAGCGAAAGGTCACCAACATGGCTATCAAGCCCGCGGCGAGATGCATCTGTGAACCGACGCACACAGCTCCCTCTCAACAAACCCTACGTTTGATTCAGCAATTGCGGCTTGCACTTGTTCTACCACGTCCGCACCTGCGCTGGCATGCTCACCTATATCAACGACAACTTTCTGCATGCCCCGTCCCAGATTCTAAACAAGGAATTCGTCAATCTCATCCTCGCGTAGGCAACAGAGGTCTTCTGGGGGAAAAGTCGAGGAGAAAAAAACCGGCCGGGCTGACCTCCAAGATGGCATCGCAGACGGCGTGCATGCTACGCTCTGTGAGGAGGTCAAAGAATCCATGGGCGCGGGGCTCAGCAAGTCGTCGAGGCAGGATTTGACGGCGCATGTCGCGATGCAGGAGACGGCGCGGAGTGATGGGCAGGTTCAGGCGCTTTTGGAGGACGTGCGGCCAGACGTCGAGGTACTTGTCATGGACGGGTTGAGGACTTCCAGGTTATTTCCCGTTTCCGTTGCGGCATCAGGGTTGTCGAATTCTTTTTAGATTCAAACTGACGATATCTTGCAGCTACTCCGTCTGAACTGGCGGAATATTGTTGCTGCCGAGCTGTAAAACATCCGGCCGTATATGGCTCGCCGCCACAGCGCTACCACACCCACCCAGAGGTGTTCCTTCAAGATTTTGCGGCGCTGGAAAATGCTCAAGGATGCGACGGGCTTCAGAAGCCCAGCGCGCAAGTGGGAGGAGAAAGAAGAAGCGAAAAAAGGACGTGCGGAGCTTTGGCGCGCGTGGGGGCTACGAGGAAGTCCGCGATGAAGTAGGGTCAGTGTGTTTGTCTCGATCTTGATTCACACTTTTGACTTTACGCACAGTGGGCCCAGTTTTGGTGGAATGAGCTTCAGCGCCGCCTCAACGGCAATCGCTGGCGCCTCAATCTCCTCAACAGTTGTCTCCACCTCCACCGCCAGCGCAGTATTCCTCACTGCCCTCGCAATCTCATCCTCCCCTCCTTCGCCGTCCCAGTCCCAATACGCCTCAGCAGCAATACTATTCGCAACCGCAGCAGCCCCAACCGCCGTTTTGGCAACACCCGCGCCGTCGCGCGTTTCCTCGCCCCCGCCGCAGCAGGGCTTGTACGCTCCTTCCTACTCGCGAACGGCGCCAGTACGCGGTAACGGGTATTAGTACCAGCAGCGACGGTTTCCCGCCCCCGCCGGGTGTCGTATCAGTATGGCGCACCTCCGCTGGCTGCCCCTCCACAGTAGCAGAGTACCGGCCGCTGGGACAGCAAAGACAGTACCGGGGACATTCACAAGGATAGAAACAGCGCTCATGGTTGTATGCTTGCACGGATAAATTATAAACTATGAAAGTACGTGTGTGACGAGCAGCGACGCGAATTTTCTTTTTTCAAAAGGTTGTAATTTTCAATTTCATCCTCCGAGCCGACCTCCCTCGTCTGCGCTTGAGACTCCGAGTCTACAGAGTCCCAGTCTGTCCGAATCGAAGCAATTTACGTGAATTCACGTGTAGCTGTCAGACACTCTTGACCCGGACCACCACTGTGAAATGGTGAGCCCTGCCATATTCTGCCAGTCTGTCTCTTATTGTCATTCTGTTCAGAGCCTGAAAACTTTTTCTCCTGAACTCTTGACGAGGATATTTCTCCAGCTCTCGTATAAATCCTTGCTTCGCGTGGGGGCTGTCTGCGTGCAGTGGAAGGCCATCGTTGAGAAGGATCCCCACCTCAGCGTGCAGGTGTTCAAGAGGCTCAGCAACGTGTATGTCGAGCCAGGTATGCGTAGTTGCACGTCGCAGGCCGTCATTGTTCACTAACGGGCGCGCGCTTCTAGGCTGCAAAGAACCTGCTTTTCGATCCGAATCCAGGTCAAGTTCGAGATTTAGCAAGGACCCCGTCAGGGTTCGTGTCTATTATACACATCTCGCGCGTTCAATAACCTGCTGTCGCAGCTCCACCCCGCGTTGAACGAAGTTTCGTATTCCATGGGCGACGATCTCGAGGACGTGACTTTCTACACTGGGAGCAACGACGGCGACTACCCTAAACTCTACAAGTTAGCGATCGCCAACGACTTCATCTCGATTCCTATGGTCAAGACCGCTAAACTCACAATACGAGGTGCCTTCCAAGTCAAGGTGAAGAATGCCAAAGGCATCAAGCTGGTTGATGTTTTCACCGCGATGGCAAAAGAGTTTGTTCGGTCCGTTTATTTGTTCTGACTGTATTTGATGACTTATTATTCAAGCTCGAGCGCTAAATTCACGACCAAAAGACACGGAACTATGACGAGGGCGGAGACCCTCGGGGATCATAGGTGAGTTGCTCATTCTCGCTCGTTTGTTGGGCTCACCGCGATCCATCACGCAGATTCTACGAGGGACTCGAGATGGTGATTAGAACTGGACTCGAGCTTTCGGCGGAGTTGTTCTTGGGCTCTTGAACGCTGTAGTTATTTTGCTTGTGGGCTCTGTTTCATGCCTTCACATCGCGCAACTTGTTTTCTTGGTGATTTTCTTGCATAGTCGTGGTATGTCGAATTTGATTTTCATACCAATGGGCTGTGGCTAAAGCCTCTCTCAGATTAACGCATTCTTGGTGTATTGAAACTGAATTAGATATCGGTCGAGAAAGTGATTCTGAGACCTAAAAATTATAATCTTCGACCTTCTTCATTAACAGGATCAACCCCGGCTCGGAATCCTTCGCCAGTTCTCCCTTCCGCAGCTACCCTAGTACCAGTACCAGTACCAATAGCAGGGATGGGGTGAGTAGAAGTTCGCCAGAGAGGGGACTTCTTGGCACGCATCCGCCTTGAAGTAATTTAATACGTGAATGTTACGTGCAGCCGTCTAAATCTCTTTGGCCGGAACGACCATGGTGAGCACCGCGATATGGCACCGCACCCCCCTCCCTTATCTTGCTTCAGAGTCTCAGGGAATTTCCTCCGGAACTCTTGACGAGGTTATTTCTCCACCTCTCGTATAAATCTTTGCTCCGCGTCCAGGCCGTCTGCGTGCAGTGGAACGCCATCGTCGCAAAGGATCCCCAGCTCAGCGTGCAAATGTTCAAGAAGCTCAGCACAGTCTATGTCGAGCCAGGTGTGTAGAGCTGCACATTAGACGCTGGTATTGAATCGCTCATGGACACTAGGCTGTAGCAAACCTTCTTTCCAACATGAATCCGGCCCCGGAACTTATGCACCCAACTCCGAGCCAGTCAGGGTACGATTCAGATGACGTGCTGGTCCACATTTCCTAATAACGTGCCACAGCTTCATCCCGCGCTGAATGAAGCTTCATATTATATGGGCAACGACCTCAAGAGCGTGACTTTTTATACAGGGAGTAACCGCGACTACCCTCAACTCTTCAATTTGGCGATCGCGAACGATTTCATCTCGATTCCCGTGGTCACCATGGTTAAAGTCGCCGTCCCTCGTAGAGGTTTAAACACCGTGGGAGGTTTCAAATTCAAAATAAAAAACCCCAAGGGTATCAAGTTGACCGATGTATTCGCTGCAATGCACAAGAAGTTTGTCGCTTTATTATTTCTATGGCCGCATTTAACGATTCTCAAGCTCAAATATTCGAGATGTCTTAACCAGCGAAGGGATTATGGCGAGGGCCGAAGCTCTTGGGAACCATAGGCGAGTTGAGCTTCCTCGATGGTTTGCCGTGCTCATTTCCGCCATCACGCAGGTACTACGAAGGGTTTCAGACTGTAGCCAGAACCGGACTGGGGATCTCGGCGGAGCTATGGATGGGCTCTTGACACTTTCTTGTGGACTCTCTTTCTTGCGCGTTGTACTTGGTGGTTTGTGTGGTATATGTAGTCCGAGTTATAGTGTGCCGAACCTGAACTTTCGGGCCCGTTCGCCCGGTCTCATCTTGAAAGAGCCTGAAAAATCTTCATCATCAGCACACAAAATCTGGGCACTGATCACTAGTTTTCGCTGCTCGCCGTCGGAGAGGGAATTTTTCAAGTCTAAATTTGATCCCGACTTATGATCGACCCGAGTAAAAATTTCGAAGCTCACCAGAACGTCAAATCTTATCCGATTCCATTGATTTTTCGACCATTCGACGCGCTGAAGAGGGGGACAAGTGAGGCGGCGGCAAAAACGGGCTCAACACGTGCAAAAAGGGGCCTAACCGGGAATTGAACCCGGGACCTCACACAATAGGAGTTGCATAAGCAACCGGGATTACCCGAAGCGTGAATCATACGTCTAGACCATTAGGCCACGAGTAACAAGGGCCCATCAAGCCATAGACTAGAGAGGCGGACATTGGCACCTATGTATTCAATGGACGTGTCGAGCTTCTATAGCCAGTGAGAGGTCCCAGTTGTCAAGCATCTTCACTGCCCAAAGCGCAAACGAGATGCCTTTGCTGTCCAGAACCAGGGGTGCGGCTCGGCACACGAGCTAAGTAGTTTCTCCTTCCCAGGTAAGTTAAGAGTGTATTGATCGATCTACATCGCCAGCGAGCCAGTCAGCCACGAAAGGACACAGACAGCGAAAACTGTTGACAAACCGCATTAAACAACGCCGACTGGATCAGTGACTACGATGGCTCCTTGCGCGAGTGCCGAGGGGATGTAAAGACCCGCGAGAACGACTAAAGTGAGCATATTGAAGAAATGGAAGTGAATCAGGATGGGGGTGAGGGGAGAAAATATAAAATATATAGGCCTCAAACCTCACGTACGGTGCGACTGGCCATCGCGTAGCAAATATCAATCTAGGGTTCGTTTTGATTACCCGGTGTTTTGTCTTTTAAGAAGTAGCACAGGACGCAGCTACACGCTTCGTTGGCATAGAAGCGGGAAATGTCTCGGCCAGTTGGTAAAGAGTCAAGGCTTCCAAGAAACGTTATTTTTTCGATTTCGACTGCCGCCCTATCAAACGAAGACGATCAATGGGATGGCGCTTAACGTTCGGCGCTTGTTCGGCCCACTCCACCTGGGTTTTTCGTTAGCCTGGATCGATATATGAAGCTGGCCTTGGCACAAGTGGGGAGGGTAAACCATTGGGACCATGCATGTCCAGTAACAAAATTGATCACCACATCCACAAGTTCGTTGGTCAAGTCATGGTTGAAAAGAGAGAGCCACGAATTGCCTTTTTGAGCGTGTCGCTGCCCAATTTGGAAGTAATTCCGTGGAGTCGCCCTTTGCAAGCTGCCCTCATGCTGTCGAGGGTGAACGCGGACAAGGCCCCTGCGCGCGCCGCCTCCAATGAATCCCTCTTTGCCGCCCTTGCCCGTATCTACTACGCGCACGAGTCCCATCGTCCGAAATCCCACTCTGGCAAGCTGAACAAATCCATGGTTTCAGGCCCCACATCCAGCTCCTTCGCGCATGTTGCACACATTGGCTATGACGAGGGCCAGGGATTCGTCTCCACCGGTGTCGACCAGCTTGAAGAGTCGAAGAAAATCGACGTCAAGGACGTCGACTTCGAGGGCGGCAGGTTGGACAAATCCATAATCTCAGGCCTCGGGGCCGCGTCCAACTCTCTTGTGCACGCCGCGGATGACTGTTACAACGAAGACCATGGCTCCACTTCCACTCGCGTAGATCCTTGGACTGGGCGGCCGGAAGACACGAGTGTTGAAATGGCAATCATGGCTGCCTCCACGAGCAGCATATTCGATAAATCCCTCATCTCAGCCCCCGAACCCAATTCTTTCGCCCGTGTGGCACATATCGGTTACAGCGACAGGGAGGGCTTCACCTCCACCGGCGTCGACGCGACGTGGACAGATGCCCTCGGCCGGCTCGAAGACGCGAGCATTGAAAGGGAAATGGTTGCCAAGGACATCGACGTTGTCCAGACGCCGATCGCAACGAAAGAGCCTCATAAACCGAACTCCCCTGCGCCACGCAGCATGTCGAGCGGCCGCACTTCCTCGTCTGTGATTTCCGGTAGTCGCAGTTCGCACGCTCGCCCCATGGCACCAGCGGTACGCCCGTACATTCAACAACCGCGACCACGCCAGGCACCCCGCCCTCGCTCGGTCGCCCCGCCGCGAAGACCGCAAATAGCCAGTAGCCCCCGATCAACACTGCAGCTTCCGGCACCCTGCCCCCGTCCCGTTCTCCGCGCAGCGACGTCGCCGCGCTGTCCCCTTCCTCCCTCTACTCGCTTTCGTCCTCTTCCTCCACCTGCGAGGCCGTCCCGGCCCCTTCACCACATCCTTCGCCCTCTTCCTCGACCAGCGCCGCCTCGCTCCTTCCCTCCCCGTCGCCCGGGTCTACCGCCCCCGCGACGCACAATTTGAGTCGACTGCAGGACAATGGAGACTGGGTCACATACACGCTCGACCACGCTCGACCTCTGTTGCCTTTCTGCGACCAACGGGTTTACTGAAAGCAGTGATTTACATCTGTGCTACGCAAGGAGGGAAGCCTATTTAAGAAAGCCGAAGGAGGCGGAATCTGTCGGCACCTTCGCAGTACTCCGCGGTAAAGTCGTCGGTTGATAAGTACTGCATGCGGAGGAGGCGCGTCGTCGGTATTTATTATGTAGGTGATGATGCTGTGAATGACACAACTGCGCATATTGTATCAGTTGGCCACCCTCCATGGCGGCCCAAGATAGAGTGTCTCTCGAATTTTTCTTGCAAACTTTATATATACGGCTCTGTGGGCCGACAGATTTTCTGAGTCAAGAACAGAAAAAACCACATAATGCTCGCGGGGAGTCATCGTCCTGCGGTTTACGTCGGCGGCTGATCTGCGACAGCAAGAGTCAAAAAGGACGTGGAGAAGATTTCGAGATCATTCAACTTTTCACTTGACTTTTCGAGGTAGATGAACCGCGGTCATGTGACCAGACGCGACTGCCGTCAGCCGTTTCGTCGCGTCTCGCGGATACCGTTCCCGTCAGCCCGGAATCCACATTTTCTCCACGCCGTCTAAGAGGGACGTGGATTTCATTGAGCCAATACTTTGGGCCATTTTCTGCTGTTGCATTTGGACTTTCGCTATCCCCTCCTCCGCGCTCTTCACAGAGATTTTCCCTGATCTTCCGCGGTGACACCGACGCGCGGAATGACGTCGCTTTATTTCGACGCACTCCCTTGGTTAAAATCGAAATTCAAAGCACGAATGAACTCCGGAAGTTGCCGTTCAGGTTTAAAAGGGTCACAGCCACCTTCGATCGTCCGTCAGCCTCTTGCCTCTTGACTCCCACCATCTCCCAACGAACTCTCCTTTGTATTCCCCTCCCTCGCCTTGCGCTGTCGCTATTGCTGGGAGGGTCTTTGAGGTGCTGGTCAGAGGTGTGTTCAAGGTGAGTTCAACTTCATCAATGGCGCCGATGCTGACGTTTTGGCTTGCTCGCCTTGGACAGAATCGCGTCTTCTGCTGAAGCTTTCGACTTCAAGGCCTCAGGTACCCAAGCCGCAAGTCTTCAAGCCTCAAGCCTCAAGAGTCAAGACACCCGCCAAGTCTCTAACCCCCCAGTCGCTCAAGGCTTCGAGCTTCAAGCGCCAAGACCGCAAGTCCTCGCTTCAAGCCACTAGCCACCTCAATTGCAATTCAAACCTCACTGGGCGAGATTGAAGACGAGGTGTGTCCTGTTGTCCTTCCTATTACCATGACGCTGACGTTCATTCGCTATATCTTGGTCGCCGTTAGCCAGTGTCTCTTGTTCAAGGCTTCAACGTCGACGCGTCGAGTTCAATGCTTCAACTTCAAACCTTTGACTGCTCAAGACTCGTCTCGTTGGCGCTACGGGACTCACAACAAGCCATCAAGTATCACGGTCAGAACGCCGCAAGCCTCAAGGCAAGACCCAAGACTTGAAGATACAAGACCTCAGTGGGAGACTGCTCAAGGCGCCTCGACGACTCAAGTTTCAAGTTCAACGCCTCAATGAATCAAGACGCATCAAGACTCAAGACATCCACAAATTTCAAGATTCAAGATTCAAGATCCAAGACGCTCAAGTCTTCAAGATTCAAGACTTCTCTCGCCTTGCGCTGTCATCGTTGTTGGGAGGGTCTCTAGTGTTGACTGGCAGAGGTGTGTTGCATCCAGCTCCTTCAATGGCCCTGACGCTGACGTTTTGGCTTGCTCGCCTTGGACAGAATCCCGTCTTCTGCTCAAGCGTTCAACTTCAATGTCTCAAGTCTCCAAGCCGCAAGTCTTCAAGCCTCAAGACACCCCCCAAGTCCCCAACCATCAAGTCGCTCAAGGCCTTCAAGCTTCAAGCGCCAAGCACCTCAAGTGTTTATTTCCAGCTCAAGACTTCGCTGGGCGAGATTCGAGACGAGGTGTGTCGTGTTGTTCTTCCTATCACCATGGCGCTGACGTTCATCCGCTATATCTTGCTCGCCGTTGGCCTGTGTCTCTTATTCAAGGCTTCGACGTCGACGCCTCAAGTTCAAGACTTCAACTTCAAGCGATTACGTATCAAGTTCAAGATGCCGCAAGCCTCAAGGCAATACAAGACCTCGGTGGGAGACTACTCAAGGCGCCTCGACGACTCAAGCTTCAAATTCAACGCCTCAAGGAATCAAGACGCACCAAGACCCAAGACATCCTCAAGATTCAAGATTCAAGATTCAAGATCCAAGACGCTCAAGTCTTCAAGATTCAAGATTCAAGACGTCTCAAGTCTTCAACGCCTCAAGTCTTCAAGCTTCAAGATACTTCAAGACCTTAGTGGGACACTGTTCAAGACATCTCAAGACTCAAGACACCTCAAGATTCAAGACGCCTCAAGACTCAAAATCTCAAGACTCAAGACCTCAAGACGCCTCAAGATGCAAGATCTCAAGACTCAAGACCTCAAGACGCCTCAAGACCGCAAGAGCTGCTCCAGATTCAGGTACGTCCAACGGTAGGTCTTTTCCTTCCCGGGGATGGGTGATAGCTTTGCTACACCCCCGTGCTCCCTTGCCGTGGGCCCCGGGCTTAGTACGCGCGCACCTGGCTTTACCCACCACTTGCGCGCGGAAGCCAAATGCACGTTAAAAACCTTGTTTTTCTCTTTTCCTTTCCTCGATTACCGTTTGTAATGTATCCCTAGCTCACAACTCGAAATTCAAACTGGATGTGATCTGACCGAATTCAGCGAATCATAAAAACTCGGGCGATCCTGCAGTACAGCGTTGCTGGCCGTTTCGGGACGTTTTATGAAGCCAGAGAGAAAGTATAATTCTATTATTTGCTGCTAGAATACTCGCTCCTAGCTTGAAGTCGAACCGTGGGAACCTCTACTAGCCTTGATTT